TGGAAACATGAGTCTGAGTGGTGAGCGTAGGAAGACAATCTATATCTTAGATTGACTGTCTTATTCTCAATTATAAAGAGCCTGATACATACAAAATGTTCTGTCCCCACAAACACGGATGGATTGAAATCATCGCCCTCACCATCAATGCTTGCTGGTCAGTAACTCCACCCTCCCTCCGTTTGTGATGTTAGGCTCATTTAGGCTTATTTTTGTATATACGTCACACCTCACACAATCCTCTGTTTCACAACCTGTTGGAAAGCACTATTTCCATAAGTACCTTTTTACAAGCTTATCAGGCAGTTACAAGCTATGGACTGTGGGTAAAGCATCGATGCAGTGCCTCTGTTGACTATAGTATAAAGTATAGTTTGCCAAACAGAGTATAAGCATTAAGAAGGGTATAATGTAGGATAGTTGTTCATTAAAGCAGGCGGAAAAGTATAGAAATATATGAGTTGTAGATAGGGTAACGAGCTGAGAAATAATATTAATTGCTGGTCAAAATAGTGTACAGAAGAGTAAAAAGCTTATAAAGAATAAACGGGAAGAAACTCACACTAACTTGGTGCTGATGTTATTTTATGTTGTCCTAACCAGTTGATGGGTAACAGGCTCCATAGATGCAAGACCACTAGTAGTAGGCATTTTGTGGTACTTTCTAAACTGACGTCATTCATACATTCCAACAGTATCCAATTACGTCACCACATCATAGAGATGACTTAAATAAATAGACCGGAAGCAGGTGTCAAGTAGAAATATGCTTAGCCACCCGCTTACCTTGCCCAGCTTCTGGCCCGTGGCTATTATTATTATTGTTATTAGCATTATTATTATTATAACACCTAACGTTTTTTAGAAAGTTATTCAGCATCTATCCTTATCTACTAATTCGTACCAGTTCATGCTATTTTACATATTACGTGACTTCTAACTACGCTATCATCTGTCTCACCCCATGTTTACAATATTTAATCTGGTCATTTATCTCACAACTTCGTTTAACATATAAAACTATTCAAGGTAACCCTTAATATTACTTGCCCAACATTATGTATTTTATTTTGCATTGCATAAATTTCGAAAACTCACATGCTAACTCGAAGTGATGTACCCTGTCTTAAATCTGGCCGGTTAGTTTTGATTATTAATCCTGAAATATGATTGCAGAACCTGAAGGGAAATTATTGAAAAGAATATTTTTTTCGTTCAAATATCTACATCTCGGGATTACTGATGGTAGTGTTGTAGAGGTAGATAAATCCCAAAATTAATTAGTTCTGTAAGTCTTCGACATTTGATGCTGACCGCATTAGTTTTACTGGACACACCTAACTGCAGTTTCTCGATCATGCATCCTCACCAGATCATGTGTGGTTACGCCATGCTACTCATCTTTTTCAACTACCAGCCAGTTTAGATCAAACGTTCCTCGATACACCGATAGCCTTCCAAATATACGTGCAGACCATTTCATTTCCGATTTGACTGTGTTGGAATACACCGATCACAAATATGTAACGTGTAAATGCGTTGTAAAACTACGAGAACATGTGGCAGTTTAGCCATATTTTTAAATAAGTCGACACTATTTATGCAATTTTTGTAGAGTTTTCCTTAATTATCTGTACTCATGAAACTTAGCTGTTCTCGCTTTAGCCCAGAACTATTCAGAACTTTTTCGTGTGACGAATATTGAGAATTGAACGAGGTTAATTTGAGACGTGCGGTTTTGTGGGTCTGTAGTATTGTGTTTTGACCTAATGAGTGAGGTTCGACGGAGGAAGCCAAAGACCTTACAAGATGGCAATTCGTCGGCTCAACAGTGTTTGAAATATGCACATAGCAAACACTCGGAAGACCCTATTTCAGATGAATTCACTGATCGTCCATACAGCCTGTTTTGGTTGTTCCCTGTGACAGCTGTTTTCCTAGCTTGCTTCATTATTTGCGACGACAGTAGTGATTGTTGGCCTTGTTCTGACTCCTCATACAGTTCTTTTAACGTGGTATCTGCTAGATCACACCTTATCAAGGTCACCAACTTCGGTCCCCGAACCGCCGGGTCCTTGGCTAATGAAGTTGCTGCTGCTGGCTATCTTCGGAATGAGTTAAGGTTAATTGCATCTGTTTCCAACAAAACGGGGTTGGTCGTTTCTCTGGACGAACATAAGTCTGGTTACTCGAGTTTCCGGGCGTTTTCTCATGTTTCTTCATACAATAATGTTCGGAACTTTGCTCTTCGTTTTCATGATCTGCGTGCCGAAGGTGGTAACCATAGCAAACTAGCATTTCTCATTAACTGTCATTACGATACAGCCCCCGGGAGCCCTGGTGCTAGTGATGCGTTTGTTAATTGCGCTGTCATGCTAGAAGTTTGTCGTATATTGGCGACGGGTTCGTTTATTCTTTTTAATGATCTTATATTTCTTTTCAATGGGGCTGAGGAAAGCCTGTTGCTTAGCAGTCATGCTTTTATAACGCAACACAAGTGGGCCACTGACATCGTTGCTTTTATGAATTTAGAAGGGGCAGGTGCTGCTAAACGTCTAATGCTTTTTCAAACTGGTCCTGGTCCGTCATCAGATGTCTTGCTTGAAGCTTATGCAAGTGCTTTCAAACAACCACTCGCCAGTGTTTTGGGAGAAGATGTGTTCCAGTTCGGACTAGTGCCATCGGACACAGATTACAGAATATTTCGTGACTATGGGCTTGTCCCAGGGTTAGATCTTGCATATATACAAGACGGGTACGTTTATCACACTCCCTATGATACAGAGTCTCGTATTTCGGATTGTTGTCTTCAACTGGCGGGATACAATATATTGAGTTTTGTCCAGTTGGTTGCCAAAGATGAAAGAATACAAGGTTTCACCAAACTGACTCCGATAAATCATACATCAGAAACATTGACGCGTGTTTCAGGCTCAGGTTCACCGTCGGATATAAACAGTGTCCCTCCACTGGTCACTAAATCAGCAACTGTTCGACACGTTTATTTTGATCTGTATGGCGCCATTGTGATAATTGTTCCATGGAGGGTCTGGAAAACTGTCAATCATCTATTGTGTTTATTTCTGTGCTTCCTGATATTTAGAGCTAGACGACTTGTCTACGTCCAGTGGTATGGATTCGTTGCTGCTTTGTTGGTACAAGTAATTACCACATTACTAGGCTTCGCCTTTTCAGTCGTACTTGGACTTATGTATCACCATTACGGTTGCAGAATGGTTTGGTATTCAAATCGCTATAATATTGTGGGTATGTTTATTCTACCAGTAGTCTGGTGGTTTGTATGGTCTCAGGCTTACTTATTCAAAATACCTGAAGGTTCTGTATTTAAGTTTCTTGGGATTTCTAATTGTCTTTCAAGGATATGGCAGCATAATACTTTAGGTTACTTCTATTCTTTAGAAACCGACTTTTTTGATTCTAGTGTATTTTTGATAGCACTTCAGTCATTTTTGTTGTCTTTAATTAATGCTCCTTCATCATACGTTTATACATTCTGGGTTGCGTTTGGGCTTATATTTAAGATGTCTGACATTCGAAATGCTTCACCGATCAAACTCAAATTTTATCAGACCGTCCGTTTTGTTTCATTCTTAGCCGTTACTTCAATACATACATATAACCTTAATTTATTTCTTAACTTTATGATACCGATTATGGGACGTTCGGGTCATGCCATCAAACCAGATTTATTCATTTCTTGTTGTATATTTATTATCATGCTACCTGTGATGCTTCCATCTCTAGGACGGCTACAATGCACCTCGAGAACCGGAAGTAAATATCTTTTCTTGATGTTGCTAAATGCTTGCTTGTCGTATACAATCCTCATTCATGCATCAAATTATGGATTCCCGTATAGTATCCAGCCATCTCTAAATTTTTCAAACCCTCTTGTCAGCCCAAGGTATCAACGCCTGGTTGTTTTTCATACCAACAGATTTCTTCGGCATGTTCCGGATTCTCCCGAGATCACAGAGAAAGAAAGTCATATCCTAATTGTCCCCGTTGATGCGAATGGTATTCGATATCTGACACCTAATTCTTACCCTATGTCCGTACTTAGGTTATTTATGAATTCAAAAGAGCATACTCAATCAAACTTCAAAGGTATCAAAGAGCTTGTTGAATCAGAACCCACGGGGTGCAATTACAGTCAACCTTATTGTGGTGTAGCCTCTATTTATCCTTTTCTTCATATCTTCAAATATTTCTATCGTGTTCCTGCTGAATTTCACAAAATAGAACCATCTGTGAAGCTAAAGTTACTGTCACGCACGTTGTTAATGGATTACTTACCAAATGGTCGCTTGAGTTGGAACGTTACATTTTCCGTAGTTTCCGGTCCTCCCATACTCATATTGTAATTCGTACAGATGGGAACTATACTAAGTTAACTGCATGGTCGTTTGCATCAACTGCAATCTATCCTTCACCTATGCCACTCCCTCGTCCATTAATTAGCGATATTCCAAGCAACAAAGGTGAACATTATTTTTTATACCATTTGAATGCAGCAGCATTTGGTGAACATGGGACCTTATGGGAAACACCGTGGACATTTTGGGTTGTTTTCGAAGCCTATGAAGTACTACCACAACCAAGCTATATTGATGTAGCTGTTACTGGTTTGTATGCTGATGAAGATATCTCTACCCGCTCTCCTCCACTCTCAGAATTTTTGTCAAGATTACCTCCTTGGGTTACTGTCATTCGGGGTTGTGCTGTTTATGATCATTGGCGTTTTCAGCTGAACTAGTATGAGTCGGGTAAAAATCTATTTTATTTACTGTAATTTATGTTATGTACAAACTCCAGATGTACTACATGGTACGAAATGATTATTTCTACTTTTTAAACAGTTTGAACCACCTAACTTATTTCTGTACTTCTTTAGTTCACAAATATACTACTTAAAACTTTACTGAACTTTTCACTTCTTTGTAAAAGGGAAAATTTGTTAACCACTTTATTTTCCTTTAGGTTTCAAGATGCCTCACACAATATTACTTGTACAGCCTTCTGTAAAAAAACCAGATACTCGCACATGGTCTGACTATGAAACTGTGGAGCAATGTTTGGAGGGTGTATGCAAGATATATGAAGAGCAGCTAAAACGTGAAAAACCTAATGCTCCTACCATCACTTATGATATATCCCAACTTTTCCAGTTCATCGATCAACTGGCTGACCTAAGTTGTTTAGTTTTTCATGAACCTACATACACATATGTTCCACATCATAAAAACTGGATCAAAGAACAAGTTTATGTACTCCTAAGAAACCAAGCTGGCCAGTAATTAACAGTTAATGGACGTCTGTGCAACAATTTTTGCTTGCATTGTAACATCTAACTGAAATACATGTTTTAGCTGCCCATTTTTATTTTTTCTGGGGCTTGTGATTGTTAGTGGTAAAATTAACTATTCATTCTAATTTTTAGTATGACTTATTTAGAATACTGATTCATTTTACTGTTAGGAGTTAGTGTTAGGCTCCACTACATTCTGCGTGCTTGGATTGAACCATAGACCGTAAGCGTAGCTTGACTGTTTAGTTGTGAGCATTCTTTTCTGATTGAAATTGTCTGGAAATTTTCTAAGGTACTGACATTGTTTATTTGAGGATTTGACGTATCAAATTCTTACTACTGTCCCATTTTCTCGGTTTCAACTTACTAGTTGTCGTTTGCCTTGTTCGTTTTTTCCTTCACTGCTCAAATTGTTGCAATATATCTGCTGATCTCCGTCTATAACGTGACGAAAGTTTTCAAATCTAAGTTGGATTGCGTGGCTCAAAATCGTCTGTGTTGGTACGGATGCACCCACTCTTTATCTTGCCTTAGATTCTAAGCTTCTGAATTCCTCGTAATTTTTTGTGTTTCAATAATCTGCACTTTCTTGAATCTTATTTTCGATGCCTAAACTTTTGTATTATCATCTAGACTGACTGCCTTTAGTCTTTCAGCATATCATCTGAATGCTTAAAACAGTTAAAATCAAAGCAGGAGACTGTATAGTTTCTAAGGAATGACATAGATTTTGTTGTATAAAGTAAATTCTCAACAACAATAACGAACGGATATCTGCTTGGCTTACTTCAAACGACACCACTTGTTTGCCAGACAAGATCGAAGATACTGCGCAGAAGTCTTTTATATATTGCTTTGCGATTACACAGTGTACCCTTTGTAAGAATGTCTCTAAATTGCTTTTTTATCCTACTAGTCTGGGAAAGATTGCTTGAGCATAAAACCGCCGAATAAGCAATGTTAGGCATATCAACAGGTAAGGGTAGTAAACCTCTTGTTTAGAATGTTAGCCACGATTTATTGCTCATTTCCAGCCATCTGTTACCTCAGCGCGCTATTTTTGCTATTATAATAGTGATTTAAAGATAGACTGGGAGTGGCTAGCCCAAGATATTAATGTATGTAGTCAGTGTCTGTTAATTTTGGCTCTTTATACTGGCATAGACGTCGGTACCTATGATTAAACCATGAATACAGTGGTCTTGTGTGCTTTTAGAGGTATGAGGGTGGTTATCACTTCCCGGTTGCCCACACCGTGGAAGGGTTCTTCTGGAGGTACCTGAAAAGGAAATTGGATTAGAGGTGATCTTATTGACTTGGGGGCGTGACCGCAGTGCCCAAGGAACGACTGCTTGAGGTCGGTCACACACGACCTTTTTATGAGTAATTTTTGTGTTAGCTCCGTACTTGTTGAGACCTTACCGCCGGAGACGGATATCCATGGGATAAGGCGAGGTGTGCATTTTAGGGTCGACCTTTTCTAACCCCACCCCTCCTTGTGGGAAGGCAGCATCGCTGTCATACTGGTTGTCTGAAGGAAACACCTTACTGCTGTCACACCTCTGTACAGTCAGCAGTACGACTTCGCCTTCGGACCTTGGGTTTGTTGCTTTTAGTCTTACCGCTCTTCAACCGACCTGTCTGACATGGTAGGACTTTGAGGAACGGTTGTTCCAGCCAGTATAGCTCGGTTGCTTCATCACGATAGGCAAGCCCGACCACCATGTCAAGGTAGCAACAACAGGCGCCTAACTAAGTCTCGTGAACTGCAAACACGAGAGAATCAAGCTGGCTTCAGACCTGGTCGTGGCTCCGCCGACCACATATACACCATTCGTCAGGTTCTAGAACACAGGCATACTTATCGTCGTCCGACAATGGTGGTCTTTCTTGACTTAAAAGCAGCATTTGACTCCGTGGACCGCGAGATTCTGTGGCAGTGTCTGTCATTGAAAGACGTACCTCAGAGGTACATAAACCTTGTGAAGGATCTTTGCTCGAACACTATTAGTCGAGTCAGAGCTTATGGCGAACTGTCGTCTGCTTTTTTCAACCTCAAGTGGTGTCCATCGAGGCTGTCCACTTTCTCCATTTTTGTTTAACTTCATCATAGACCTACTGATGGAAATAACATTCTCGTCTACTGAATTCTCGTGTATTGATCTCCTTCCAGGAGATCCACTGATCGACTTGGAATACGCAGATGATATAGTCCTGTTTGGTGAAGACGCTGATAAAATGCAGAGTCTTCTGGTAGCACTAAGCAACAATGCCAGAATATTTGTAATGCGCTTCTCTCCCTCAGAATGCAAGTTTTCGCTTCAAGACTGGTCTGCGTCAACACCTGAACTAAGGATGGGGAGTGAAGTAGTCGAACGCGTTGACAACTTCACTTATCTTGGAAGTCTGATCAGCCCTAATGGGTTGGTGTCTGACGAAATCTCAGCACGGATTCGAAAAGCTCGTTTGGCTTTTGCCAACTTACGTCACCTATGGCAAAGGCGAGATATCCGTCTATCAATATAAGGACGAGTATACTGCACGGCAGTCTGTTCTGTTTTAATTTACGGCAGCGAAACATGGCCATTAAGAGTAAAAGACACTCGTAAGCTGCTAGTATTTGACCACAGATGTCTCAGAAATATTGCTGGCATCTGCTGGGATCACCGGATAAGTAATAGTGAGGTTAGACGCAGGGTATTAGGTAATGATGGTAAATCAGTTGATGAGGTTGTTAATCTTCATCGACTGAGATGGTTAGGCCACGTGTTACGTATGCCTGAACACCGATTACCACGACGTGCAATGCTAACCGGTGTTCGGGATGGTTGGAAGAAAGTTAGAGGCGGTCGAACCAAAACGTGGCATCAGTCCAAAAAGTCACTAACTTCTATTCTGAGCCATGTTGGTAGATGCAGACTACTTGGTTGGAGTTCGCGTGACTATGGTAACCAATGGTTGGAGACTCTTGGTGACATGGCTCAGAATCGGTCACAATGGCGTCGGTGTATACACTCTCTTCCCTTAAACTAAGAGATTAAAATCGCTCCATATCTTTCTTCGTACTAAATCTTTCTTCCTGTACTATATCCTTATATGCAATCTTTCTTTTATATATAATCGCCTCTGAATTAACTACTTTTATGAATCCGCTGTTCATCTTGTTGTGTTAATGAGGTATGGCAACTTGGACCGATGCATATATGTGCCTGGTGCTACGTTGTAGCTGACTGACTGACTGATGACTAAACCATAAAATATACTTTGAGACTGATGTAGTTTATGATTGTTCACATTGTTGCATTCATTCGTCATGTCTTAAAGTCTTGAATGTGGTATTGTTCCACATGTTATGCTTCCCAACTTCGGTGCAAAAATTATTTCTTACTTTTGGCCGATTAGAATAGTACAGGATATGAATCTCTATTTTATCATCCCAAGTTGATACACTGTAAAACTAATGGAAGCAAACAATTACTGAAAGAAAGAATAATAAATTAAATAATAAAAATAAGTGGTGTTGAAAAATAGGCTTAGAGTGATATAATGTTCTTTATGTGATGGATTTCTAGTGTGTCTTAACTGTTTGTTTAGTGAATTCACAACAATTTGTTGCAATAAGCTCATTGAACTCGGACGTTAATCACTAAACCTATAGTTCATTCAGACAGTTTAATTTTTGTGGATTCGCGACGAGTTTATCTGAATTAAGATCTTAGATATTCACAATTTATTATGCGAAGGTACTTAAAAGCCAGATATTTGTTCTACCTGTTTCAGTTGGTTTGAGACTAGAAATCCTCTTTCCACGTCCCCATTTCCCAGTTGGAATACATCTAGGATATGGAGATCTCGTTCAGCAGTCCCATAATATGCAATCGTTCGTGTTGACCACTCGATACCTTTTTATATTTATGTATATGGCCAAAGTCCCAAATGCCTTGGTACGACCGAGAGTGGGGAGAGTCCGCTCTCCCTCTCGAAATGCTCTCATATGGCTATGCGTATATAGCCTCTGTCAGGGAGGTCCTACTCACTGACTTCTCGCACCACGGGTGTTGTTTACGAAATTGAGAGGACGAAAAGCGAGTGTCCGGCGCTTTAACCGGGCTGATGGACCTGGAGAGTCCACCTAGGGGAGTTGGAAAACCCTGATTCCAAACCAATGGTGCACATGGGCTCCAGTATCCTGAAGAAACGAATGGCGTATGAACCAATTGTTGGTCACCGGTTACCATGGGACCGCATCTCCTTACGATGCTCCACTGCCTTGCGAATCAGACCTTCAGGTCGAAGACTCCGGGTGCGGTCCCCCAAGGAAACCACCTACTTCGTTTTGGGCACACGGGCGGTATCACAGCCCTCAGACATATCAAATGAAATTTGTGTGGCGCATATGTATTTGGCGCCTCCTTGTACCAATATCTATGTGTTAAATAAATATGGCCAAAACCCATTACCATGTACGATATCATAACAACATATATATATTTCTGCTCTATGAGAACTCGATCGAGCCCTTTATATTCTCCATATGATTTTGTTGGTAACCAGCTTATCATAGGTTTAAGTAACCGAAAATTTTATGCAAAATCGCGTTTGGTCCGTGTGATAGTCGCTCTTAATAGGGTTAGATGATAATGTCACCTCCACTTGAATATCATTTTATAAATGGCTTTTTCAACTTCGCAAAGGTTCTTGGATTCCCAAATTATATTTTAAACTGAGTGTTGCTTTCATATAACGATGCGGAGGTTGTTTTGGAGAACAATTGATTTCCATAAGGAAAATGTACAAATCCTAACTAAGCTTTCAAGAGTTGTGTATGGTGTACTCTTCATATTCAACTTCTCGAAAAAATGAATTACTTTACTAAATCCTCTTTTTTACCAGGTACCATAGCTAAATTGTATTATCATTCGGATGTTCAATGAGTTTGTCCAACAGTCGTCTGAATCCGATGGTGATTGGGAGGTTCGTGATCCCTTTAAAAGTATGTCACTAAAATACGTTAATATCTTTATAGTCACAAACTCTTTACATTGATTTATTTTAGACTTAAGAGAGCATGAAATATACATAAAAAGAGAGTACTTACTATGAGTTTATATCGTTTAAATAATTACCTTAAACAATTAGGATCCATTATAGTTAAATGTCTCAGCAGTTTGTATTATGGGTCTCATGTTAAATCTAACCAAATAATCATACTTAAAATGTACCCTAGCAGCCAGAGTTAGCATTTAAAGACGAATTCATATATCGGTGAACAGTTTCCGGTATGCCTAAACACACACTGTTGAACTTCAATGCTATTTTCATAGTGTTCCCATGGGGCCAGGAACGACAGACACGAACATTAAACAATTTTAGCTAGGGGAAACCAGATTATACCAGATGAGTTCAAAGCAGGTCACCTCATAATGTTGTAGGCTAAATCTTTCACTACAAGACTGAAGTCTGGTTTCACTTCTGTCTCTTTAGTTTTGGTTATGCAGTGATTAATCTTTTTTTATTTATTTGAACACATAAATATTGGTACAAGGGGGCATCAGATATATATGCGCCACACGAGAGATTAATCTTATCTGTAACATAAATGCTCATTAACTTTTTGATTATTTCAAACGCTTCCTAACTTGGCCATCATCACTTGAGAATTTTGTAAAGTGTACTTCACAGTTTGATGATATTATTGGCTAAAATAACTACTTTAAAATGGAAACTAGGGCAAAACGGTTATCTGAGTTAGCTGACAGAACAGCATCTTCTGCGTCCCCCGTTATTTTACTGAAGTAAAGTCTAGTTCCTATAGTCTGACGAATTATGATTGTTCGTCATGTCCATGTTAGTGGCCTCCTACATCAAATTTTAATGGAAGATTTTCATTAAATATTGCTACTCACATATGGTGTATTCAGTTCACTAGGCTCCCGTGAACTAGGATTGCAAAAGATCTATAAATACTTCTATAAATTCGAACTTAACTTGCTCATGATAAGGTGTTTGAAATATCAACCAACCGTAGGTCTTTGTTTTTGAAGATATGATGAAGACAAGACAAGCTCACTAGATATAATTGCGACTAACTGTTACACAGTTGCTAGAACTCTCCGCCACTGATGAGAGCTCCTAAAAGTTGCTACTAATCAGTTACTTGAAATGTGAACTAATAAAATCCACATAAAAGTTGGTGAAATGAAACAACTGGAATTCTATTTAGGTGCTCAGTTCATAATTTTAAGTTTAACAGTTAAGATATAATTATCTACACAGAAAATTAGTCGACTAATATCAAGATAGGACATATTTGTTAATGGTTATCAAAGGAAATACATCTTCAAATAACTTGGTAACATGAATTATATGTATGAACAGAGTTATTCCCAACTGTTCATATCTTTGTAGTATTTTCTACTGCAGCTCAAAGTAAAGCATATTCACCTATACTTCTGCCTATTTTCAAATGTAGACTTCAAATTTACTCGATATTTGAAGGAAGAGGTTGTTCAGTCGATAAGAAAAAAGCAATATGAAGATGGTACGAGCAAATGTGGTCCATTTACCAATCGCGCGTATACATTTGTCACAATTCCTCGATATCTAGAATCGGTAGTTTACCTAAGATTGATAATTTTTCACTGATTCCCATTTTTATAATTAAGCTTTATTATTCTATGAGATATAACCGTTAACACCGCTGTTGTTTCTACTCCTCTCATTTTATTGGTTTCCTCCCTCTATGTTTATATAAAGTGTGACCACATGAGCCAGTTCGCGTTTGTTTTAGGCCTACCATTTTTTTACGACAGACCACAGAAAACATTGTGTATAACCTCAATGGTTAGATAAACGACCTTAAGCATGTGTAAGTATATGTACTTTTCACTTTTCAAGTTTGTGAAAATAGGGATCATGGATGTTAAACACTAATACAGTAATATGCAAAATGTATTCGTTGGAGATACAGGAAACAGAAATATTCAATAAACCTGAGATTGTTTTTCCAATTATCAAAGTTATAAGCAATCAAAAACACAACAGAACGTGACACAGTTTTGTACCGGTTTATGTCGCTACATTTTAACAAGAGGAAATTAATCATGTGATGGAAAATAATACAAAATTAAATTGACTTAGTATAAGCTGCCTCTTTAGAGAATAAGTAATTTCTTTTGGTAACACAAGTTAACTTTAAAAATTTCTCAACGGTTTGTTAAAATAACACTGTACACATTTCGACGATTTTTCTTGGCATATTTAATTGTTTACAATTTCTGGAAATAGCCAACACTTTTACAAACTACTTGCATCCATGGTTTGTTGACATTCTCTAAGTGTTAGATATACAATGTTCCAATATATTCTATCTTACATTTCATTTTGTTCAGATATTTTATTACACTTTTCCTTTGTGACACTCGTAATTGTGGTAGGTAAAATAGGAAAAATGGAAAACAGGAAGTTATTCCTTAACACGTTAGTTTGAGTATCTTCGATGGATATTTGTTAGTCAGATGTTTTATATCTTTTTTATGTAGTCTTAATTTTCAGTTCTTTTCATTGTTAATTATTATTATATCGCTTGCCGGTTAAAAATAACGGTGAACCATAAACAGGCTATTTATTTTTTTGATAGCATAACAGCTTACTTGTATACCTACTACGAATGATACGTTATGATCTTCTTAGTATACTTCTGTAGCCACGTCATGAAAACGTTTGTAGGTGACGTTTAAGCCATTTGACAGTGGGTAATTCACCACAATACCACCAACTAACTTATCGTCACTATATCTGAACACATACCCAGACCTTGCAAACAATTGCACTCTGTTACTACCGAATTCGGAGGCAAGGATAACCGAACACAAAGAGTAGCCAAACATCATCAATCTGGTAAAGCATTTAACAGTAATCTGTTAGAGATTTATATAATAGACCTTTTACAAGCATTTTCACGTAGCAAAGGCTCCAAAGATGGTCCAGATTAACATACAGATCTCTGCATTTCTTTTTTTACATAGAATGATTTCAAGTTGATCAGTTTATTATGTTTTGTTTTTAATAGTATACACTGGTGTTTTTGGTGTAATCATACTTCGATTTTTTGTATAATTTTTCACTGCATTCATTTAGTTTATGGCTTATGGGATGTTGCAGTGTTTGGATCACTTACTGGTTATTTACACATTTCTTCCATTACGTTGTTTTCTCGCTGTATTAAATTTAATGCTAAGAATATCCAGTGGAATATTTCAATTTTTCACATATTTTAATCAATACCAGTAAGTTTCTTCTATTTGGACCTGAAATACGTTTATATTAAAGGTGATTTTTTTATACATCGATAATAGATGTACATTAGTTGAAGTATTTAGTTTTATCACGAGTTTCAAGTTCACGGTTTTCTTTAAAATATATTTTTACAGTACATCATCAGAGGTACGATATAAAAGTTTCATGCCGCTTTTTGTATTGTCTTTTTGTATGTATGGATTAGTGTTCTAGAAACCACTAGTAATCAACGTTAATCGTAGCGCTGGTGTATATCAGTTCAGATTTCACACCTCACAGCAGCTGAGAGAGAGAGAAAATTAATGAAATGTTCTGGCAAAAAACAAGTTTGTGTTTGTTTTGCCCAATCAACAGGACCGTGTAATTATCCCATTTCACTGTTTAGAACAATAAAACTTCATTTCTCCATATCTCATAGTTAATAACTTTCAGTCATGTATGTATGAATTTAAATTGATATCAGCTTTAGTAGTGTAAGCCCGTATAATCTGTATAGTATTAATATTGTAATATAGACTTCCAGTTTATCAAGCCACTGTTAATCAGAACCAATATATATGTTATCCCTATTGATTTTGTAATTCAAAAGTAATGTAATATTGGTGAATGTGACGTATTTTGTGAATTTAAAGAGTCGTGTTACTTTATATAGAAACTTAAAAAAAGATACGTAATGACTTAAAGAAAATCTTCAGAACTCTTAGTGAAATTTCATTATCAGCGTACTTATTGCGAATCTATCTAAGCTTTAAATATTTGATAGAGAAAAAAGGTAAATAAGTGAAGAAAATTTTCTTTTTTGATGATACCATTTAATAAAGCTGTATGATTGTCTTTCTAGTAATTAGATAAATATCTGGGTTTATAGGAGGATTAAGAGTGATTACATCATAATGTTTAGAGAAAAATGATATCCTTGGAAAGATTATTCTTTGTGCTAATTTATCTTTATTTTTTATTGAATAACAATTGATTTCTTTAAATATTCGTCAAATTTTAGTCGACATAAATAGTTGTGTCCATACGGTAATAAGTTATATAAAACAAGTTCTGAAAGGGTGTTCATAAGTTTTAAGACTCCTCATGTTCGGATTGATGATGAACGTGATACGATAAACAAATATACTTTTTTAAAAACTGAAGAGCATTTAATATGGGTTGTGAGTTTGACATAGTATTCTGTGTGATTAACATCTGGTTGAGTAGTTCTAGATTCTGGTATTTTTGGCTGAAGGTAATCTTATGTAGCGTTTTCAGTATCTAAGACATTTCTTACATAAAAGATAATCTATTATATTCATATACTGTTCACCTCAATAGTTTCAAATAAATTGAGCATTGGGTAGAGAGTGGATAATAAATATCTTTTTGTTATATCCCAATCAGTAGAAAATTGAGCTTGTGTTAATTCGGTTATTTATTTACTCTGAGGAGGTGGCTGACATTAGATCACAAAACGTCAGAAATCCAATTTTCTACTGATTAGGATACAACAAAAAATATTTATTATATGCTGTTTACACACATTAGTCTCTCATTTAACTGCAAATAGGTGATATGTCAGTGTTTGTAAATCCAAATAAGATTGTAGCAGCACACGCTTACACGACTTATCCTTAATTTTAGACAAGTGGATTTTAATTTCTCTCGGGATTTTACCATTTATGTGCGACTTTGAGCATGTATGCATTATAATACGTATATGTCTATATGTTTAATCGAATCTATAATGATTTGGATGTTGAGTTACGTCTTAACTAGAGTAGGTCGAGAAGCCTGTCTCCATGCTACACCTATTACTATCTGTTTATGTACATGAATGCCTCAAACAAACTCTTCCGACTCAATATTTGGCTTTTATTACCACCGTTAACCAACGGGGTTAACTTCATTATTATTTAGGGAATTAAATGGAAGATTTATATTTCTTGGTTTATTCACCGCCATTCTTAATGGAGTCAAATTGCGGGCACACATAAACATTTGTACAAATGGTCACCAAAATGTATGTAAAATTGTTATTTACCGTTTATTTCGAAGAAATGCTCATATAACTACATACATCTCACTATGCTTTTGCTGTAAACTGATTGTTCAGACATAAAAGTACAGTAAACACTCGAACTGATATACCGTACTTGTTCGTTATTCGATGCTCATGGTGTTAAACATAAATTTATTACAGAAGAACAGTGAATTACACTTTCTATCTATGGTTTTCATAGACGGGTTGGATAGTGTGCGACGTTGGTAAATGTTTTTTGCACCAAGTAAATATGTTTGTACAAAGGCAGTCAATATCCTCGCGTTTTTGACTTATAGTCTGATCACTACTTTTGATCACCATCCTTAACCACCACCAAGCCTAGTTCCTTGCAATTTCTGTTTGTCCCCAAAAAGCAAATTGATACTTCCGATCAACTAGCTCATTCTAAATATACTTACTCCTGTTACCCTTCGTGGAGGAGCATAAGTCGCCCACCAGCATTCTCCATAGAACTCTGTCCTGAGCAATTCTTTCTAGTTGCAATTCATTCTTTTGATGTCTGCTCCCGATTCCCAGCGCAGTGTGTTCTTTGGCCTTCTTCTTTTCTGTTTCCCTTCAGGATTTCAAGTTAGCGCTTACCTGGTGATGCAGTTTGATGATTCCCATAACGTATGTCCTATCCACTTTCAACGTTTTTTCCAAATTTCCTCTTCATCTGGAAGCATTTGGCTCCTATTCCGAGCCATGTCCAGTAGTGTCTCAAACCACTGAATCACACTACCTCTAGGATCTCCCAAACTAAGGAGTCTTGATTGACCGACAGATGACAGTCCTGGACACCTTTAATCCATACCATTACACTATGCCATAAACTGGTCACCTCTTCGCTCCCTCCACTGCGTCGCAGCGTCGACAAATAGTGTCTGGCGTGGAGGTCACTAGAATAACGTTCGTAAGATATTCCCAAGTCATAAAGTCCGGTGTTCAAAGGTGGTTACACCAACTAAGTTGTCGTCACTATACCCGACAGTTCACTCCCAAACCTAAGAATTACTAACGTAGTGTTGTCACTTGATGTCGGAAATTCTTTGGATACAACGATGATCGAACATAAAGATCGCCGGGCATCTCAACTCAGGTTTCACAAACATGTTGTAGGACTGTTCTCACTGACTTGTAGACATGAATTAGTACAACCAGACTAGCGTATCTACGGCGTCAAAGATGGAAGTAACTTCGTGGTTAGGTCAGTCGACTTTCAACCACTAGGTTGCAGGTTCGAATCCCGCCCCACCTATTTTAGTTTGAGCGGCCGGATTGTATCATTATCCCTCGCATGTAAAAGGTGTCTCGAAGTAGAGCACATAGATCTGTACTTAATAACCGGGTTAAATCGTGATTTTTTGACTCTACGAAAAGATTGCACTCATCCCATAAATAAATCCCAAACTGTTTTTTTTAAAGTTTGCTACTAATATTGTTATTTCTATTCTATCTTGCTTTCGTCTATGTAGTTTTTAAATATTATTATCTTTACCATCTACATTAGTTGATAAATTTAAAAATATGGTAGTGATTATATGTGTTGGAATTAATTTGATTATTAGCTTTGATTTGTTTTCTTTCTGTAGTGATGCACCTCCATCGAAGACTTCACGGTTAACTTTACTGTATAATTATGAATTACGTGATCTGATCAAATTTTCTTTATTGTGTATATGTACTGTTATTTTAACAAAATATGACAGTTCCATGGCTTATCATGAAATAAGAACACAATCGGTGATAAAAATTTATATCTTTTTCAATTTACTCGAGGTGAGCGTATTCTGTATATATTTTGAAACTTAACTTGAATTTCAATGTAATATTTTCATTCATAGGATTAGGAGAAGATTAAATTTTCATCGTGATTAGTGTGGCTTTATGCGAAGCATTTGTTATGTTCAGTAGTCGTCTCACCTCGTTATTTATATTATAGTCTTCCTATACACGAACCCAATTAATTACGTGGGTGAAAAATCCAAGTGATTAAAAAGCTTTTATTAGCCAAACCGGGTCGGAAATATATGCACAACTCATTCACAAATATAGATAAATTTCCTCCAGAAAATTAGTCCATATTTTCAGCTAATAGTGCTTGTCTTTTTCTTCAGAAAGTTCTGCTGAATCTTGACCAACAGAGTCCACCCTTTAGCATATTTCGCTTCTCTATCTAATTGGGTTAGTGTATCATCGTTTCTACCTGAGAAACCAGTTGCAAATCATACATGTCAGAAATGATTATCGACTAGATGTGTACTTTTATTTTTTACTCCCCTAACCTATCGCTAACACTAATAGATTCGGATTCGAAAAGCTCGTTTGGCTTTTGCCAACTTACGTCACCTATGGCAAAGGCGAGATATCCGTCTATCAATAAAAGGACGAGTATACTGCACGGCAGTCTGTTCTGTTTTAATTTACGGCAGCGAAACATGGCCATTAAGAGTAGAAGACACTCGTAAGCTGCTAGTATTTGACCACAGATGTCTCAGAAATATTGCTGGCATCTGCTGGGATCACCGGATAAGTAATAGTGAGGTTAGACGCAGGGTATTAGGTAATGATGGTAAATCAGTTGATGAGGTTGTTAATCTTCATCGACTGAGATGGTTAGGCCACGTGTTACGTATGCCTGAACACCGATTACCACGACGTGCAATGCTAACCGGTGTTCGGGATGGTTGGAAGAAAGTTAGAGGCGGTCGAACCAAAACGTGGCATCAGTCCAAAAAGTCACTAACTTCTATTCTGAGCCATGTTGGTAGATGCAGACTACTTGGTTGGAGTTCGCGTGACTATGGTAACCAATGGTTGGAGACTCTTGGTGACATGGCTCAGAATCGGTCACAATGGCGTCGGTGTATACACTCTCTTCCCTTAAACTAAGAGATTAAAATCGCTCCATATCTTTCTTCGTACTAAATCTTTCTTCCTGTACTATATCCTTATATGCAATCTTTCTTTTATATATAATCGCCTCTGAATTAACTACTTTTATGAATCCGCTGTTCATCTTGTTGTGTTAATGAGGTATGGCAACTTGGACCGATGCATATATGTGCCTGGTGCTACGTTGTAGCTGACTGGCTGACTAATAGAATCGCAGTATTATCCAAATAGTGTTGGATCTGGTTAGAAGATTGTTTCAGCTGCTTTTGTACAGTTATTCACCCAACTTATCAAGTACACAAATCTATACCTTAATAAAGAAGAGTTTGATATTTTTTGGTTTGACAGAGTTCACAAAACATTTATCCTACTTTTAAGAAGCTGATCGTGTTATAGATTTGACATTTACAATATTCAACATCACAGTCACAAAGGTTACTGACAAGCTTATTGAGACGGCTTAGGATTAGATAATGTGACATTTTAAAAAATCTTGTAATGGTTAATTAATTAATTTAGGGAATAGTCAACATTTATACAGGCTTATTATTTTTGTAGTTATTTATAGGATTTCATCTTGTTTTAGGTCGCAGATCGTTTATTATCTGCTGTTTGTCAAGATGCATTGGATGATTTACTATTTACGATCAGTAAACCGCGATCTGATTCAGTTTTATCTAATGATCTAGAGGAAAATAGCTTCATTTTCTGGCGTGATATTGTTTTACAGTACTGCTTTGCTTTCTTTTGTCTCAGTAAGTCAGTGCAAATGCTTATTATATGTATTTAATTTTTACCGTATGGTTTTTACTACATGCTCTTGGTGAATGTCTTAAAATAGTGAATTAAATGAACCACTGAAAAGGGAATAAGATATGTACAGTGTGAATCAGATAATGGCATTTCGAATATGTTCGTTGTAAGTAAAAATAACTTTATGACAAGTCAATCAAATTGTTTTGTTACAAATAGACTCTAGTAGGACGAGATACATTCACCAATTGTTTCTCTCCTGATTTATTTGACTTTTACAGATCAAGAGACCTTCCACTAATATGTTGGAGCTTGTGAATTGTGTTAGGACAGGATTAATGTTAAATAATCGATTTTTCTCTTCATTTAAGAAAATCACAAATTAAGAAATTGCAACCATGTAGTCCTTAACTAGTTAATGTTATTCTGTGATAATAATCATTTACAGTACGTTGCACTGAACAGTCTTCAGTCATTTTCGACTTTTTTGCGACACTTTAACTGTGGTAATTAGATTGTCCGACTTCCTGATGTAATGAAATTTTGTTTATTTAGAGACTGTCTACAACGAGTAGTTGGTCCAGTAGTAATTAGCGGGATATGTAACAATCAGTAGTTGTACAGCGTCATTTATGGCATAGGCGAGATATCCGTCTAACAACCAAAGGACGTGTTTACTGCATAGCAGTTCATTCCATCCTACCTTACGGCAGTGAAACATGACCGGTATGAGTAGAGGATATTCGTAGGTTACTAGTATTTGATCATAGGTGTCTTCGAAACATTGCTCGTATATCCTGGGACCATCGAGTAAGCAACGCAGTTGTTAGGAAACGGGTACTAGGTAAGGATGGCAAACCAATTGATGAAGTAGTGAGACTTGATCAGTTGAGATGGCTGGGACACGTGTTACGTATGCCTAACCACCGACTGCCTCGATGTGCGATGCTTTATGGTGTAGGAGTAGGTTTGAAGAAAGTTAGGGGCGGCCAGACCAAAACACAGCACAAGTCCATGAAGTCACTGAAAAGTGGACTAAGCCATGTTGGTAGGTGTAGACTACCTGGTTGGGAACCACGAGATGATAGCAACCGATGGTTAGAGACCTTGAATGACATGGCTCAAAATCGTTTGCAATGGTGCAGGTGCATCCACTCTTTGTGTTCTCCCAAATTCTAATCTTCTGAATTCTTCATGTCCCTTTTTTCCTCTTTCCAAATTTATTTCACTGGATTATACTCCTCGAATAAAATTTTCAAACCCTAATCTTTCCGATTACTGCTTATACTTGTACTACTTCTATCACTACGGAATTTGGATCGACAACTGCATCTCTGTGCTAATGTGGTGTGGCAACTCGAATTGATGTACGTACGTACGAAGTTCTACGTTGTTACTGACTGACTGACTGACAGCGTAAGTAGCACTCTGGAATAAGATCAACACGTGATAGCTAGGCTACACTAATAAACGGTAACTACAGGCAGAAGTAGTAGCACTCGCAAGTCAAACCATGACAGGTAATCTCGCTGTCTGTAACATTACACTCTTGCTCAGTCTTCGATGTGAAATATAGTGAATTGATGAGTTTGGTTCAGGTAAATGGCAGATAATGTATATGTTCTAACTGTCATTGTTGAAGATCAAACCCTTAGCAGACCTGGCCGACGTAAATCACCTTTTTTGCAAGAGAAATATCACCTCCATTTTTCCTAGTGGTTATTAGAGTAAGTTGGTATATTGGTCAAATGAAATTACGTCAGGTTAATCCTCCATAATTTAACTGTGGTTGAATAAAATTGTGCTACATAACAGAAGTTTGGAGCAGCCCAGTCAGAAATATCATGATTATTCTTTATTAATTTTTTGTAAACCTTACTTATTCTGGCGGTGCTTATACTATTGGTGTTGTAATTTTATTGTCCGCTATCAGGTCGGATATTTGGTTTTAGGATAATAAAAACCGTTAAAGTCATACTTATGGTTTGTCTGGCGTCTTCACTCGAGGCTAGGCTCTACTCAGTCTTATGAACTCCAATCAAGTTAGTTCAGTCACAACCACCAACGTGTAATTAGTTTGTCAGTTTTTGGACGTATTACTTCAAAGTTCTGTCAAACAACACGGTTCTATTCAGTCATAGTTTATACATAGTTATGTAACTGTTCAACTCATCAATTCTCCTGTTCTTTTTAAAGAAAACAGTTTCGTTAACTTTATGATGTTTCCTTCTGATTGTTCCAGTTATTCGTTCCGTATTCTTTTACATTGTTTCATTGTTTTCTTACCATCGAAATTACAGTAGCCCACTGCTTCCTTCTGCTATGTCAAGTTACTACTTTAAATGTAGCATTCAATTCACAAAATAAATCATTGATAACTGTGTTTATTTCGAACAATGTGAGTTCCCAATATATTTTGCTGTTCTATTCTATTTAGATCATAGTTAAAATGGATATATATATATATATATATATCATGTTTGTAGCTTGTTTCATTGTTTATTTAATGAGCCATTTTGGTGATGTTAGGTCACATTATTGTATTTAAGCATATTCAATTCTTCCAAGTTTTTAGATTTGCAAAAAACAATCAACTTTAAAGTTGGAAATGCTAATTTTCTTTTTCTGTCGTTGCTCTTGCTTACATAATCTATCTTAAATAAGTGTGATACATTATAATATGGATATGTGAAAACATGCGGTTCCGGTAAATTCCGACATTTTCTTGCTATTAACTGCTTTCTAGATGAATCTCCCTGAGTTGTAGTGAACATATTTTGATTTTTATATTTCAACTTTCTCAGGAGTGAGGCTATTATCATTAATATAATTAGATAATCATTTTAAGATTGATTTAATGTGGGTTTTTATGCCAAAACTTTTGAGTGGTTCTAAGGTGAATTAACTGTTTAGTGCTTCTTTTTTATAGTTCTTCAGTTTACATTGATTGGTGACAAACAGTTGTCTTCAAGCTAATTGATGCTTTTTTCAGATGAGAGGTTTGCGGAGATTGTTCATTTCAAAGTAGTATCCGTCACAGTCTAAGTCCATCTGGAGAAACAATGGAAACTAGAGAGCACTGAACAACTTTTTTTATCGCTGTTTGAAAGTCCTCAAAAGATCGAAAACATGATATCCAGACCTCTATTGAGTACAGTACCTTTGAACCACTGAGCGAGTAACGAACGATTCACATTTATTTTTATAGAAGAAATTATGCATAAGATACTTTCCAGAGGGATTACAATGTTGATTGATTTAGTTAAATAAAAAAAGTACCGGGAAAGTTTTACTGAATTACCTGTTGTCTGTTTGTTCATTTTACTGTTGACCATACTTATTTTGTTGTGGGAAAGAGATTAGTACTAAGAGATGATTAGGTGAAAGAAGCCTTAACATATCAATCTTGACTCTCTTCAATTTTAAAGTTTTGTGGCTATGATTGTATTTAATAACTAAATCTTATTGATTTTCCTTTTGTTTCGCATCAACCCCCTTTATAATATAGAAATTCTGATGCTTTTTATTTGAATAGTTTGTTGAATTAAAAGGTAATGTATTTCGTAAAATGGGAAAAACAAATTTATTTCAAATTGCTTGTGCTGATGTGCGTGAACGATTTCACTATTGTGTTTGGTTTTCAATTATTGTATGCCGTAATATGAATGAAAGTGGATGGAATTTAGGTAAAAAATAAACAATATGATTAGTATTATTTATGTTATATATTCATGAATTATGAAAAGTTATTTTTTTCAAGTTCATTTGTAAAGCAGATGATAATTGTACTTTAATTCCATGATTCAGTTATTCGAACACGACAATTGGTAAATTATGTAATATATCTAGGTCTTAATTATATTATGCCACCATGGACTATTTTTATGACTTTAATACACTACATAATGTAATGTTATCAGTCTGAAGTGTAAATCGGCAAGAGAGCAGAGTGTATAGTGTTTTCGATAGTGTACTAGATTTTCAGAGAATGAAATGGTTCATTCTTTTCGAGTAGCTGAGATCAATGTTGTGTCACTTAGTTTATTGCATAAACACACTAAATTCGATCGTAAAGACCTCATTTTATCGAATTTATTATACACTAAGCTTATCCCCTTTAGTGTATAGCCCATTTAGGCGGTGCATTTTTCCCGTTTCCGTTGTTTAAAATATTGTTTGAAGTTCTGAGAAGTTTGAGTTTTCAGCTGCTTCCTTTTATCTAAACTCCAGACGATTCTTCTAAATTCATGCTTTCAGAATTCACATTTGGGAAGAACTAATAATTTCACATAAATCCAATGTTTTCATCGACATATATCCTGGTTTTGCGATCTCGACAGCACCCACTAAAACGTTTGACCCCTATGAATTAAATTATTTTCAGTGTTTCATGTCGGAAAATAGCCTTCAACATATCATGAGTTTCTTGTTAGTTCGGTTAGTACATTTATTGACCATAGTACTAGTATGCTGACATTAAAGATCTCCGAAAACACTGATTTTTACTATACTGTTGTCTCAGCAGAAAAAAGCCTATGCATATTCACCAATTTCTATTTGTGTTCAGTTTTCACCATTGCAATTGAAAAAGAAAAAGAATTTCGTGAATTAATTACATGGTGTTGTATATAAATTCTTTTATTCAGTGTCCAATTAGTTAATAATTGATTATGCTAAATCTCAACGTACACTCATACATAAAAAAGATACTCTTACACATTATCTGTCAATCAATCAGTCGGTCAGCTACAACGTAGAACCAGGCACATATATGCATCGGTCCAAGTTGCCATATCTCATTAACACAACAAGATGAGTACCGAATTCGTAGAAGTATTACTTCAATGGTAGTAATATATTTAAAAAAAGATTCCGTATAAGAATGTGTTACAGGGAAAAATAATTAGTTCGTAGAAAGAAAGATATAAAGCAATTTTAATTTCACGGTTTAAAAGAAGACAAAGGGTGTATACACCTACGCTATTATAATGGATTCTGAGACATGTCACTCAGCATGTCTTCAACCATTGGTTACGATAGTCAAACTGATCCCAACCATGTAGTCTACATCTACCAACATGGCTCAGACCAATAATTAGTGATTAATAGTCTGATGCCACATTATTCTGAGATAAACAGAAAACATAAAATGCTAGTGTTAATTATAAAATTAGTTCTCCTTATCGTTTATTATTATTATTTTTTATGCAATGATTATTTCGTTGTATGAATTACATAGTTTGATTAATGACTTTCTATTGTTTGCTGATGAGAGTATTTGTTTTTTTTTTCTTTCTCTTAAATAATCGATTTTATTTCAAGGGTGTTTATTAAATTAGCTATTTATATATAGTTATGATGATATTTTCAATTTATTGATTTAAATAAATAGACAAATCTACTAATATTATGTTGTTAATGATTATAAACTGATTAGAAAAAAAATATTGATTGATGAACTCATTTAGTGATTAAATGTAGTATAAAACTATCTGAAGTAAATAAATAAATATTTCTTGGAATTGATGAATATAAATATTTTTTTTCTTAATAAGTTAATAATTATCATTATGTTGAATGATGTTTATTTCCTAGGGTATAGTTTCGAATTAAATTGTATCTATTTCACATAATTGCATACATATAATGCATAGAATAATAGATTGGATAGAGATATGAATCAATGAAATAGACATTTAGCTCACAATCGTAAAGTTGTCTATTGGAATGTACTATATATTATTCAGTTTAGAAAGATCAGATTTATTGATAATTAAATAAACCTTATGTTGAGGATGTTAGATCCCCGGAACTGACTTGGTAAATGCCTTAATTGTATAATTTTATTTTGGAAATTTAAATTTCCTTGTTTTCGCGTCAAGAGCTTACTCTCACTTGGGAGAATTTTTAACGCTATTAGTCCGTTGTGTATTTTTAGAATGCTATTTTTGCTACGCTTCCCAAGGACAGTTTTATGCTGTATATATACGTTTGATTTGTGTCTGTTAATATTCACTCATGCTTCTGGCTTACGGAATATACTTTCCCGTTCCAAGCTTGGACTTGTTCCTCTAGTTAGCGGGACTGGGACGCATCAAAGAGCTAGCTTATTGGTCTATGGTCACAAGTCTTTGTTCCGTTCGCATACTAAGTGAACTCGTAATAGCTTCAAACCTAGCACCGTAATTATCAATATCATTTTAATCATGGGGCCTACTGCTATAGTAGGATTTATGGTCTCGTGTATCCTGGTTATCTAACATAAAATAAACCTTTACTTGATAGTTTCGTTTTCTGAGGTGGATTGTTTAACCGTAGAGCTTTCATTATTTTTCTTAACGACATCATCAGCACAGAATTCAGGTAGAAGTAAGATATTCTAATTACTCCACAAGTAACTGACAGTTTGTCCTGTCGATCTTGATTGGCTACTGTTGACCTTATGTCTATCGTTGTGGACATATTTACTTCGACTGTCTCCCCTTCCGACCTGATTATTGATCCTATATTTGTCTATGATCTCCGTAATTGGTTAATAAATTGGGTCGACTTTATGTCTCATCAAAATCATGAAGCGATCAGCACTGGACGCACACCCCGTCCCAGGATGAGACCCCCCAGAAACGTACATCCACGAATGCAGGGATCGAACCCAGGGCTTCCGGTCTCGCGCTCTAAATACTTACCTCTGGACCACTGAGTTGGCGTCCAACGATGTTCAACCGACCATCATACTACATAATCATCTCCCATTGTCTTCGTTGGGTAACTTCCCCACACACGACACAGGTAAAGTCCATCAGTCACTAATTCTCATCAGTTGCTATTCTAAAAGAAAGTGATGAGTATACTCAGAATTTTTTTCTAATTTAGTCAAGGTTCTTGTTGAATTCAGCTTAGATTATTGTTTCACTCACCTGTTGTACTTCACGTAATCTAATTGATATATCGATGAAATATTCGTTCACGTCAACCTGGAATGTGCTTTTTTCTCTGTCTCGACTACAATCCAATCTTGTTCTAGTGATGGGTCCTTTGTAGTACAGACACATACAATTAAGCTATTATTATTATTATGTTGGACTAGTTCATATTCTCAAATTGTAGTGGATGAATTGTTTTTATTAATACACTGAGTAAGAATTTATTCTATTCCATTTTTTTCTAAATAGATGATCTTCAAACAATTCTTATTGATGTAACCTATATTCTTCTAGCAGAAGTTGCTGTGGATTGGATAAAGCATTCGTTCATTACCAAATTTAATGTGATCCCTTCAAATGTGAGTTTCATTCTTTTAAATATTTTATCATAACGAAATTAGGTGAATTTTCAGATGCAATATGCTAGTTAATTAATAAAATCAGCTTAACTATACGGTATACTTAATGTAAGATAATTTTGATTTATTTTCCGATTGGTATGGTGATTATACTTATGACTTCGGAAACAAAACAGTGACATTTCTACATAGTTTGCTTTGGTTCATTTAAACTGTGTAGCCAGTTCATTTGTCCATTCTATTATAACTCAACTTCATTCGATTCGTAAAGAAATGACTTCACCTGTTCATATGATAAAGTGCAGTTAGTTAGATACCGACCATATTCTCACAATAGTTCCGAATAATATCCGTTATCTGAATTGAAACCAAAGCTAGTTTTGCAGTTGGTGCTCTTAATTGAGTCGGTAGAGAAACCAACAGCATCTCCTAAATCCAGTTATTTAGTAACTCGGATTTTGTTTCAACTCTAGTCACCCTGTACGCTAAATCCGGTTTGTCTACTGAAGGTCTCCAAAATGTGATTACATCGAACTGAGTCCCAAACAGGACCAAATGCGCATCCTGAATTCCACTCTTAGTCACCATCCATCTCAGCTTAAATTGGCACGCAATGTTGGAAAACCGTTTGTTTTAACTGGGTCAAATGTTATGTATTTTCATCAGCTTTCCTTAGGAAGCAAACTCCATCGATACATTTCTAGACTTTCGATTTTACTCTTATGAAATTCGTCATCATACCAACTGGGAATTATATTAAGCTTCTCTTGAAACAAATTTATTAGTTATCAGTTGTTAATTGTCAATGTTATTATCGTTTTTATGATAGGTTTATGAGGAGTATACTGTGAGCATTGCATACGACCTATTATTATGCCATCAGGGGAAGGTTAGTAACGATTTTCTTCTCATGAAACTTAAACATTTTTTAGATTGTACTGATAACATGTCTGAATATTTTGAGCTGTTTGAAAGTGCTGTAAACTTGTTTTTCCTCTCAATGGTAAATCATGCTCACGAAGTTTATTTGGCAAGCTGACACTTTTCAAGAATGATAGACCTATAATGCTCAACTGACTGTTTTTTTAATGACTGAATGAATATCAAAGGTATTCTTGTTATAACCAGCTAATGCTCATATGTCGTATCTAGGTTAGTTTTTTAAAACTGTGACTTTCATTAGTTTCTCGCCATTGGAAACCCACTATTCCAGTGGGTAACGATTTGGAATAATCGATTTAGAAGATTGTTCACGACCATTTGTATACCATGTGCTAGTAAACCACTTCATAAAAAAGTTTGAACTAACCTGTCTAGTTTACTGACGAATTTGTCAGTCTTAATATTCATAATGAAATCCACACCGGTTAAATGGTAACTAGTAAGTTAACAAGTCTATAAATCGAGTTATCCGTACTAGATAAAAAGGTCAGATTAATCCATGACACTACAATCGTTCATCGACTGTGATTGTGCATGTCTAGTCATCATCTACCTTGATGTGAATTACTGACCGGAGAAAGATAAAGCTGGGTGTCTCATGAAACATGGCAACAGTTATAAAGTCATTGAACTCTGGTTTGAGCCATGATGGTAGTTAGAAATACCCTGATTGAGGGTGGTAAGATCATCTGAATCAGTGAATAGAACGCACTGAGTGACTTTGATTGCAGCGACACAAATACATTCACTTACTGTTTTCCCATAAATTTTGGTCTGTGGTGTGATAACTTTTGAACATTGGCGTTAAGTCTTACTATTTCAGCTTATGGATGTCGTCGATATTGTGGTGTCCGTCCAACTACCTCATATAGCAAAATTGGTCACTTTTGCCCTAAATATCTACAACAGGAAGATGCTAACCTCCAGCTTAGTTTCTAATTCGCGTGGGAGATTAAGTGGAAAACGTAAATAACGGGAGCTCTATGGTTTAAGCGTATATATATTCCAGGACTTTATTTGGCACATTCCTGAATTATGCATAGCTAGATATTCTTTATTTTATTACTGAAACGATGTTTTGATTTTTTTATATATCATCATTTATCTTTTAGAATACATCAGATTACTCCGACCTTCTCTCACGTCGTATGGGTCTTACTCCGATCCCCCTTAGTTGTTTAATTAATGCTATGCTTTTTCAAACAATAAGAAATCCCAGCACTCTTTGCCTTACTTTACCGTTTGTTGTGTCTGTGTAAGTTATTGCTTTGAAATTTTCAGGAATAGGCGTTTTTCAAATGCTAGAGAAAAAAGATGCGTAATATTAAACGCTATTGATGCCATTTTCTTTCTAATATTTCTTTTATGATTAGCCATATACATTTTTGTATTATTCCGTAGTGTTTACAACATATAGTTCCCTTTAGTAACTTGAAGAGAGCAAGAACAAAGATTTTAGTAGAATAACACGAATTCATTCTCGTCGATTGTTTACGACCTATAATATCTAAAAATCGAAACTGCAAAATGAGATGAAGATACATCAAAGAATTTGATTGAAAGTTATTATGGACACATATCAGCATATTACAGCAAAAATGCGTATTAATAAAATGTTACAAACGTATTTCCTATTCAGAACATTAAAAGAAGTCAAGAAAAAGGTATACAAAGAAATGGTTACACAATAAAACAAATGTTAGTGATAAATAAGAAATACTTTAACTTATCAATAAAAAGACACTGCCTTATCTTCTCTGTAGTATAAATTTCATGTTTTCGTTTAGTTAACTATCTGTTTAGCACATGATAAATGAGAGGTATTATTTATTCCAATTTGTCTTCGAACCAATAATTGCAAGCTCTCAATCTAATGACAGACCTTTAAAATAAGTAGATATATGCTCATGCGAATAATATGTTCATGATATTTTTCTTTGTATATTGAGTTTTTTGTCGCGTTACAACTACAACTCTACGAAAGGGGCCTATAAAGTTTCTATCTGTCCACATCATAATGTTGATATATATATATAATCTCACTAGAAGTGTGCAAAACACGAAGCTTTTTAGAAGATAATTGGGTAACGATCCTACACAACCACTCATTTGTTAGTTTTGTAATGATACCGCTATATTGATTATGCTCAGATCACGGTTACGTTTCCGAATAACGAAACAGTCAATTTGTTAGTTATATTCATAAATTATCGTCGGTAAAAAGTGATTCGGTAAAACAAGTTTAGATGATAGTGAGTTTAGTGAAGCTGAGTTCTCTGAACTGGATGGTTTAAATGAATAAACCATTCACTTCAAAAGACAACTCCACTGAATCCGTCCTCCTTAACCACAAATTTTCTTCAACGTGTCAAGATAATCAGTTTCCCAACCGTTGCTGCTACCTTGACGTATTGGTTGGGCTTGCCTATCGTGACGAAGTAGTCGGGCTATACTGGCTGGAATAATCGTTTTTTAAGGTCCTACCATACCAAGAAGGTCGGTTAAAGAACTGTAAGACTAAAAGCAGCAAACCCAAAGTCCGAGGGCAAAGTTGTACAGGGATGTGACGGCAGTAAGGTATTTCTTTCAGACAACTAGCATAACAGCGATACTGCCTTCCCACAAAGGAAGGGTGCGGTTAGAAAAGATCGACCCTCAAAATACATACATAGCCTTATCCCATAGATTTCCTTCTCCGGTGGTAAGGTCTCAACAAGTACGGAGCTAACACAAAAAGATCGTGTGACCGTCCTCAAACAGTTGTCCAATAAGCATTGTGGTCACGCTCTCAGGTCACAGTAAGACCAACTCTGACTCTTTGCTTCCCAAGTACCTCTAGAAGAACCGTGAAGTGATAACCGCTCTCATACTTCTAACAGCACTCAAGATTATCACATTCAAATCAGTTCCACTGCAGTCGGACACTCCTAACACATTATTAAGCATTTCCTTCATATCAACGAAAGAAAGCGTAACTAGGGGATCCATCTCGTTTGAAGTGTGGGGGTCTGTGTAACTGTTTAGTCAACTTAATAAGTATTGGTTACCAATGATTTTAAATAGATACTTTGTTTTTTTAGACTATTTGCAGTTAAAGTTGCAACTAACCTTACCCTTATGTCCATGGCTTATTCTCATGTACGTGAGTACATAAATGCAGCAAGTACTGTTCGACAGGATGAAAATTGTTCTTTCGACAATGATAAAACTGGTGGTGTTTTCACAACTACAGTAAAAGGGAATATGAAACAGTCTCAACATATTCTTTCAGAAAAGGAAATTCGGATATCATCAAGAAAGCCTCCTTTTGGTTTCACAGGTTATGACCAACCGACTAAAGATGAAGATTGCTTTTTGCCGACGGGTCTTAGGTATCGGAAATTCAAAAGCGACTCAGGTCCCGTAGATATAACAGTTAATATGGACATAAATCACTCACTAACTCCTGAAGATACATCAGAACTCGCTGGAAATAAGCTTAGAGTGTTAAGTCCGATTTCCACGGGTAGCATTTGGAATGAATTGATTGAACCATATCAATCAATTATGGCCTCTGCAACCGGAACACCGAAGAGTCTATATGAACTTAGTGAATCAGCCCCATTAAGTAAGTGACTTCCCATTTGACTGCTAGTTAAGTTACATGAAAGTCGCACAACCTGCTCTTTTTCGACTAATGTGTCATCTTTCTATTTCATTTTAGCACCTCTTAGTCGAATAGGGTCAGCAAATCGGATATTCAATCCTGGGAATAATAAGTCAGAAATCGAGTGCGAACGTGGTTTCCATGGTTCATGCGTGTTCCAGACTGAAGATAAACCTCAGTTTACTGCTTACACAAATACTCCAATTGCTACATTACATAATGAGGGACTACATGTACGCAACAGGTATGAGATGACTAGTATCTTAGAATTATATAGCAATAAAGACGAATCATTTACAACAATGGTACGACCTCCTAGTGCTTGTGTTTTATTAAGACCAAGGTATTACAGTATCGATCTAGGTATTCTGAGTACCTTTTTAAATTCTATGGAACGCAATGTACGTGCTACAGATGAAACACCAATTAAAGATGGAAGTGCTCAGGAAAATGAATCAAAGCCTACCTATACTTTCAATCCTATACACAAACGCCGGATACGTACAATGACTGAAAGTTCAGGCACTGCCCCTTCACATCCTCCAAGGGACCCTACAATACCAATTCTATTGGAACGAAGCAGTAGAAATAGTACGGCCAACCAGTTCGGTTTGGATCAACTGAAACCAATAACACCTGGACGAGTAAAGCAGCCATTGTCTGATATTGATCGTTATTCAATGGTAGAAGGACAAATTAGTTGACTCAACTTGTGTAATTTAATGACTGTACATTTCTTGTATGTATATTCTAAAATAACAAAATGTTTTAATCGCAGTCTTTTAGAAACCCTAAATCTGATGTAGCAACTAATATAAAATAGTGGAACATAGTGATTACGAAAAAAACTGGTTGGTAGTGCTAAATACATCCCATTCACTCACTCAAAAACTTAATAAAGCGAAGTTAAAGTATATTGTGTTCGATTTCACAACTTAACCAATCAAATATTCTTGACCTAAAAGCATACTTTTAGAATATACTGTTGAACAGAATGATATTTGTAATTAGAATGTGTTATAGAAGTACACATCTAAAGTTCTTAATATAAGTTAGTGTCATTTTAACCACTGAATTTACATTCATCACGGATACGTCTTCCCATTACAGTGAAACACTTCGAGGTTCAACTTTTTTGACTACTTGTTAATTCTATCGAAGCGTCCAAGTGACCCCGATTGAGATACGCGCAAAATCGAAGTTCCAAAACAACGATTTGTCTACAAAAGCGGTTCTTTATTAAATAATGCACAAAATTTAGTTACAAACCTCAACTTGTGAGGTGTCTAGGCGTTTAAACGCGTCGTTCAAGAATGAAAATAGCAAAAGCTTCCTGTAAGAGTAACATAAAGAATGATTACAACATACGATAGTCCGAAGACAGCCGATAGCTGTGTCTAAATTTGGTAACAGTTTATGAACAACCGAAACTCGAACCAAGAGCAAACAATATGGAAACTGTTGCATTCAAACAAATGCATAAAACTGTGGATAACCTTTACAGTAATTAAATTACAGTGATTATAATGATAAATACAATTATAAGTAAGATAAACATTAAAGATATATGTGAACATTCCAGAATGTTACAGTACAACTTGAGTTACAACATAAGTGTGAAAATTGTTGGGTATACAGCGGCCTACTGAATGTAAATAAGTAGTATAAAACAACATACAAAAGAGTAGAAAAGGAACATATAGGAACAATGTAAAACAAACTTAACACCGCCCCCCAAAGACAGCATGTCTTTCCTTACTTTCGCTGATTAGGTATTAACGTAAAAACATTCAGAGGTGACAATGGTACGATTTACTCTAGCCACAGTCACTCTGAAAAGTCTCTCTATCCTCTACTTTTCGGTCATCAGCTCCTTCTTATAAACAAATTTTACATATGCCTCTAATAATTGTACCCTTCCACGTTCTGATCTTCGCTTGGTTCCATAGACCATCTCCTCCTGGATCAAAACTTACCACGAGGCCTTTAGGCCAGTTATTTCGTGCACCAGTGTCTCCAATAATCAAGACTGGACCGCGAACTTGTAAATCTCGTCTTCCTTGTGTCCATTTCGTTCGCGTCTGTAAGAGTGGTCTATCATTAGGTATTCTCTCTGCTTCAGTCAAACAGGTGGTGAGTGTCTCGTAGGACATAGATACTGCGCTCGAAAGTCTACGTATGCTTCCTATTAATTTTTCCCATACTCGATGATGATTTGCGTAGGGAGTGTTATGGTGCCATTCTATGTTCCGATGAGTCATTTCTTCGGCTACTCTACTATCCTTAAAGTCTGGTAATGGATGTTGTATCTGCTTGTCTAACCCAACTAAAGGAGACATGGATACAGTTGTCTTAAACTTCTTATCATCATACTGAATAAAACAATCATCTTTCTGATTCTCTGTTTCACGCTTGATGTCAATAGAACTCTCAGCAGACGCCACTACAGGAGATACAAGTTTCGTATTTTCAGAGAACTGAGTTGTTGCTTTGCAACTAATTGATGACTCGTGTAGTAGTATCACAGACTTAGCACTATCGTTCACGTCAGAAACACTAGGGAGATCTGTTTCGGCAGAGAACATAACAGATGTTTTCGATGACATTAACTCGCCGCTATCTGTTGGAAGAATTTTGTCTGGAGGAGAAATACATCTAAGGTCAATATTCACTACTGTATCGACGTGACTATCGTTGACAGTTTTTAGAAGGTACTCATCGTCAACAGCTGGTGATGAAATAACTTGTTCTAAATCCATTAGATTCTCGTCTGTCGCTTTAGATACAGAGTCAAAGGTATATATAAGTCCGTTACTTCTTGAATCAGGTGGAGTGTCAAATCCAGAAAAACGAACTGACGGTAAACTTCGATGAACCCTGGAATCTTCAGTCTCAACAGCGGTTGCTGTTACTATGAGTGAGCGTACATCATCATCATCGACTAAGAGTGACACATCAGGAGAGTGTTTAAGGCATAAATCAGGATCGTCTATAAACGGCAACAAGCGATTTGAAGGGTTTTCAGGCGCTACTGTGGTCAAAGAAGAGGGTGGAGTGGGTCCGTCCTGGATAGAACTCTTTGCTTCTAAACAACCTTCCCAACTCAATCGTGACTCTTCATCTATCATCTCATCCCACCCATAGTTTTTACGACATAGCTGTTGCAGAATTCGTTTAGGGGTAAGTGATAAAGGCGCTAGAAATCCAAGCGGATTATATAACGATGATGCACATGATAGAATGCCTCTCTTAGTGATCGGGCGTTCGGGAAGATTTACGTCGAATGCAAAACAATCGGATTGCGTGTGCCAACAAAGTCCTAAAGTTCTCTGTATACGTTCTGTTGAACCTGGTATACGAACCAAATTGTTTGATCTATCACCTATAGGGACGTCATTCAGCGCTTCATTTACGTTACTAACCCATTTATGTAAACGAAAACCTCCAAGCGCAACGAGTCTTATTAGGTTATTTGCTAACTCGGCAGCTTCTGGTATTGTTTCTACTGAGACTAGACAATCGTCTACATAAAAATTTTCTCGTAAGGTGGACTGGGTTTTTTCATCAAACAAATCTCGGTGGTCTGTAGCTGTACGTCTTAAAGCATAGGTAGCGCAAAACGGCGAGGACGTAGCCCCGAAAGGGTGTACATGCAACTCATAGACCTCAGGAGGAGAATCAAGATTGCCATCGGGATACCATAAAAAGCTGAAGGCCTTTGTATCCTTTTCGGGTAGATGTACCTGGAGGAACATTTCTTCAATGTCTGCTGACAATCCAATCTTATGCTTTCTGAATCTAAGCAAAACTCCCACTAGGTCGTTTGTAAGATCTGGTCCAGAATATATACAATCATTTAGAGACCTGTTTTGTAACTTAGCAGCACAATCAAAGACTATCCGAACTTTACCTGGTTTTTTAGGGTTAAATACGGGATGATGTGGAATAAAATACCTTTCTTCTTCGATAGCTTGAGTTACTCGAGACAAATATCCTTTACTTTCGTGGGTAGCTAATATAATAGTATACTGTTTCCGAAGCTGTTCGTCTTTTAGCAACCTTTTACGTAGGTAAATTAATCGTTTTTCTATTTCGCGCTTATTCCTTGGAAGTGAGTGCCAATCCACCTTCCAGGGTATCGGCACTTGATAATGTCCATCGAGCAATACTGTTTGTTTGTCAGTAATCTCCATAATGGTCTTATCACATAGGGACATGGTAACCTTATCAGAGTACTTATTTTCAGAAAATTCATGTTCAAATAATTTGAGAATATCCTCCTCCAAGGAATTTTTTGCTTTTAGACAGTTCATGAAGACTGAAGTTTTATTAAGTTGACCCGTTGGTCCAAATAAGGCCCACCCTAACATGGTTAGTGAAGCATAGGGTTGTTTAGGTTTTCCGATGCGCTGATCGAGTACCCAGTGGGCCTCTGGAACGTCAACACCAAGTAACAAACCAACCTTGTCACAGGCAATGGTAGGTAGTTGTACACCTTTCAAGTGTTTCCATCTTTCTTGGAAGTCCGTTGGTGGGATTTCTGCTCTTTTAATAGGTAAGTTATCTATAGTATATGCACCTTCGATTTTTATTCGGTTGGTCTTATCTAAAGACTCAATTTCGAAATTGGTAAGTTCAGCGTTCTGAGATGACGCTCCAATTACTGAAGATATGTTTAATCTTGTCACTGTACCAGAAATTCCTACCTGCTTTGCCACGTCACTAAGCAGTAATGTCGAGTCTGAGCCATTATCTAACAATGCATAGGTATCCACATAACCTGTGGGACCATGTAGCCTGACTGGTACAAAGCCTAAATACGTTCCAGTAGTATGAGTAGAGTTACAACATGCTTGTTTAGCATCAGGTTCTGTGTTGTGAAGAATTCTATGATGGCGTCGCTTGCATCCATCAATTTCACACAACACGGGTTGTCTGCAGTCTGTGGCTCGATGATTGGGTTTTAAACAATTGAAGCAAAGTTTAAACTTCTTCAGCAATTCTACTTTTTCGTTATGACTTACTTCCAGTAGCTGAGGGCAAGACGCGACTTCGTGGGCCTCCGAGCAAATTACACAATGGACTGTCCCTTTAATCGACGAAGTATGGATCTTAGCTCTTATGGAAGCCGACCGGTTGTTCGATATCGTTTGAGTTTTATAGCTTCCGCTTGCTAACTGTCCGTATGTGTTTGTTGCGATTGACACTTTCTTTTCTAAGAATTGCAATAAATCATCGAAATTGGGCTCTAGCCCCTTTCTTAAAATATCGTCCGCGGCCTCCGCCCATTTAAACTGCATACTACGTGGTAGCTGTTTCACTATTCGTTTTATGTTGGTCGAACAATTCAGATCGTCATTCCTGCCCATCTGTGACAAGGCTATCTTACAATTAGTCATGAGTCTTGTCAGTTTCTGTAGGCCAGTTATGTCGTCTTGATTCAATGGTGATCCACTTAAGAGTTCTGTTAAGAAGGCTTCTACGATGTCGTGTGGTCTGCCGAACCGTTCATGTAGAAGCTTAATTGCCTCAGTATAACCTTCCTTTTCTGGTAATAAAACACAGTGTTCTATAGCATCCTTTGCTATACCTTCGCAATAGTGTATCAAGTACATTAATTTCTGAGTGTCATCATTTACTCTGTCAGCTATGTTAACCTTGAATCCCTTCATGAACGTCCAAAATTTCAGAGGGCTCCCGTCAAATTTCATGATTTCTATCTTCGGTAAGCTTACTGACATACATAACGCCTTGACACTATCTACCTGTG